TTACCTGTCTCAGCTAGAGGTCCCGGACCTTTTCTAGGGTCTCAGTGGGCATCTGGCCTGGGATAGGATGGTTTTTAGCACTGTCATTCCTTGTTCTTCACCTTTAAAAAGAATGAAGTCTCAAAGGAAATTCTGACCCATGCTTGAAAAGTCCACAGCCTTAGTAACCTCCTTTCTTGGCTTCTCACTACTGCTTCTACTGTCTTCACATTCAGCATCACTTTAAAAGAACTAGATAAAACTAAAAAAAATTTTTACGTGTTGCTCTCAAGAAGAAAAAAGGAATAGAAAGAACTTAAGCGCTACAGTTGATTAAATGTGGTCCACTTAGTATAGTGATCATGTGGTAATGGTGGTAATTGTGGCAGAAATGGCAAAAGGATTCATTGATGAGCTTAGAGAAGGCTTAGGCTGTTCCTTTTGTAAATTCTGCTCAGATGGACCCTCACAGAATATTCTGTCAGTTTGTTCTGAAGGTGCTGGGACTCTGGGTGCCTCCAGCCCGAGGTATCTGCAGTCTTTGAGGAGCACACAGGATTTGAAGTCAGAAGCTATACGTTTGAGTTCCGGCTGAGCCACTCAGTATCCATGTGACCTTGGAGAAATCACTGAGCCTCTCTGACCGGCACCTGTACAGTGAACATAACTGCTACCTCACAGGGTTGGTGTGAGAATTATGTATGTGCTAAAGCATTTTGTACATAAAAAAAGCTTTTTATGAGTATTACTTTTTTTAAAAAAGATTTTTTATTGATTTTTAGAGAGAGAGGAAGGGAGAGGGAGAGAGAGAAACATCGATGTGAGCACAAAACATCCATTGGCTGCCTCCTGCATGCCCCCTACCCGGGGTCAGGCCCACAACCGGGGCATGTACCCTGACCGGGAATCAAACCGATAACCTTTTGGTGCACTGGACAACACCCAACCAATTGAGCCACACTGGCCAGGGCGAGTATCACATTTATTCTTGGGGCAGCCCTACCTTGAAAAAGTTGTCAGATAGAATAGCTGTACATTAAACTGTATTCCTTTTGTCTTCGCTCAGCTTAGCCTTTCTGTTTGATCAGGCCTGCTTACAAGGGCTGGTGGTGTTGAAATAAAGTCACCAGATTTCTGCTCCTTTTGGTCAAAGAAAGGAACTCCCATGGCCAGCTGCTCCATCCAGACTCGGGCAGAATGGAACTGAGCAAAGGCAAATTTTAAGCCAAGATAGTTCAGAGTTAGGGGGCCAAGAGGAGACTCTTACCTTGCTTTCTCACATCCAGGATGACTAAAACTTCCTAAGTAAATGAGGAATAGCCACAAAGATGCTTAGAGATCATTTTAGTCATGAAAGGGAAGTGGGAAAATGTGCTTATAAATGCTCCCTCTCTTCTATCCCTTTGGAATCAGGGACAGGATATTACTGACACCCCACTGGCTGTTGCCTGAAACCTGCCAGTCATCCAAAGAGAATCACATCTTCTGGGAAAGCTCAGTTCAGGGCAGTAACTGACATATTTTCCCGAGTAAAGCCACTGCTTGCTCCTCTTCAGTACCTCTCTTGGGGAGATCATCTCTGGAACCCAAAGCTACCCTGCTTTCTAACCTAGCAAGAGTTAAAAACAACAGGGCATGAGCAGTAGGAGACTGCGCCATCCACAGAGCACAGGGCTTGAAGTGCACTATTTCCAGTGTGAATCAGCCCCGAGAAGTCTCAGACCCTTTGCTTGGGTGCTAATTATCCATTGTTGATCCCTTTCTGCCTCCTCCTGCCACCCCCAGGTGACAACTGGTCCCCAAACCAAACAGCTGTCTGCATGTGGCTAATGTAACTTTTTAATATTCCTTGGTTATAGCTGATCCTCTGCTGTTGGTTTGATTTTTGAAGGGTTTGATTAAAATCTAGTTGCTTTTTTTTTTCTCTACTGTTGGGGAGAGGGAGGGTGACTAGAATGAGAGAAGCTATGTGTATGTCCATGTATGTGTATGCTTGTTCCACACATGTGCACCTCACATGTATGAGTGTCCTCATGGTTGTGTGCAGTCTGATAGGGAGGGCACAGGGTGAGAATGAAGCATCTCTTGTTTTCCAACATTGCTTCAAAGATGCCCAGCCCCCGTGGTAGCAGGCTAGCAGGCGGTTCCTAAGTGGAGGGTGGGGGCAGAGGCCTCCACTACGGCCATCAATAACCAGGTGTGAGCCATAGGTCTCTGTGTAATGTGAAGCTCTCCCGTATTTCATCTCTGCACCCAGGGGGCGGCTCTGCAGGATTGCTGACGGAGAGCTCTGTGTCTGGCACCTCTCTCCGAAAGGCCAGGGCGCCCAGGGTCCCACCGACCTGCCCAGGAATGCATCACATTGTTCTCGGGTGCCGTAATTTGGCTGCAGGAGCAAGGCTGACCTGACGCCTCTCGGGGATGAGAAACATACTCTCCCCAGGGCCTACCTTGGGCTTCTGCCCTATGACCACCGAGAGCATTTAAATAAAGCCTCAGAAAGGCAGAGGGGAAAAAAATCCTAATTATCTCTCTTGTATTAAGCCAGTGTCCTGAGTGAGTCTGAGAATTTGGCAAGGACTTGGCGGTTGGTGTTCTTGCTGAGGGAGGTGGGAGAAAGGAGAAGAAATTTCTCTGCTACAGGGAGGAAGAGAAATGAGGCAGTGAGTGGCCATGAGTCAGACCCACAGGACTTCTCACAAACAGACCCTCAGCGGAGGCCACGTTTGATTCTTTTAAATAATCCGAAGTCCCTGTTTGCATTTTCCCAGCATCAGTAAGGAAGAGTATGGATTAGTGCTATTGTTCAAGGTTGGCAGTCATATGGGCTGGCTCTTCTCTCCAGGGCATGGTTACGGCTGGCATCCTTATGCTTACATACGATAAACTAGCTGCAGGCTGCAGCTGAGGCACTCGCCAGATGCGTGATCTGAAAGATTCTAAGGACCTTAAAGGGTAGAGATAATGTCTCTTAAGTTAACTTTGTATCCAAATAGCACTTTCTGCCTGCACTAACCTAAATATTAAAAGTGAAAAGAAACCAGGACCAATAGGAAGGACTGGAAGAGAGGAGAGGGGCTGAAAGAGGGGGGAGATTAGAGACAGTGAGTGAGTAGCAGAACTACATGGAGCCCTGACTACACCAAATAAAGTTCTCGTTTTGCTGCTGGTTCCAAATAAATTAGTTTCTGTTTGTATAGCACAGAATGGACGCCAGTTGTCCAAAGCCAATCGGAATGCAGAGGCAAGCTAAGGAATCAGAGGAAAAATTAATGGCTTGGCCATCATTCCTTCTTGAGGCCACAGAACCTCTGTGGTGGGGCTCACGTGGACCTCTTTTGCCTCTCTACCCACCTCACTTTTCAAACCTCTCACTCTCTGGACAGTTCATTCTTCTCTTAACCATTTATAGGAAAATGTAAAACGTGGGTCTTCATGAATTAGAATTTGGAGCCCAGTGAGAAGCACAGAGCAGTGTTAGATGCCAGAAGAGGCCCACTTCCCTCCCTGGGATTAGAACCGAGAAAGGATGGACAATAGAGCTCAGGCTGATTCCCCATGGAAGGCCTATGCTGTCATTTATGTGGTAACCTGGAGGTTCTTGAGAGCAGGGTTAACTGGGACCTGAGGCTTTTCCCAGCAGCCCAGCATATAAGACGGCACCCTTTGTAAATCCATTCAACCCTCTTCTAGAGTTCAAAGGGACTGTAACCCTCTTACATTCCCACTACCCTAAGGCTTCCTTCTCTTAAACCCAGCTCAAGATGTCAGAAGCTCTTCTCTTCCCTCCCATGCCCCCTCCCTAATCCCACCATTGGCTCATCAGTTACCCAGTTGACTCCACTCTGCAGGGAAGACATTCCCCTGGCCTGACTCACTCGGTCCCATTTCTCCACAGGAATCCCCTCACCGCAGACCACAAGGGCCCTGACTAGCTCATGTTTTGTGTTAATGGCTGTGAAATTGGAGCAAACCCCTTTGCCAAAAGAAAAACCACCCTAAACTCTCCCACACAGGTCTCCGCAGGTTACACAAATATTAGTCCTATCATCCAAATAAATCTGCCCCATGGCCCAGAGCTACGACTCCCTTCTGCTGCCCTTACAGAGTGAAGCTGTTCCACAAACACGTGAGCACCCCAAGGGATGTTGGAGAGGAGCTTGGGAAAAGGGGGGCTGGATTTGGAATTCCTCGTGTAGCCCCTGACTCCACAGACGGCTGTCAATACTTGATTGTCCTGAGTTGAAGGTTCTGAAGTAAGTCGTGAGGGACTAGACCAGTTAGGGGCTTTGGTGAGAGTGTCTGTTGGCTGGAGTTTGGAGCATAATGAAAACTCAATATCTGAGATAGTTTCCTACCCTCATTTTACAGATGAGAAGATAGAGGCTCAGAGAATTTGAGTATCTTGCTCAAAATATCAAAAACAGCTGTGATTTCAACCCATGTTTATAACTTCAAATCTCTATACTATTCTGCTCCTTTAAAATATCAGTAGGCAAGAGATAACCACTGTTCAGATCACATGAAAATTGTACCTCACAGTTCTTGGGACTCCGTGTCGCACCCTCCAGCTTACCACCTGCTATCTGTGGAGACTCAGCTACCGCAGGCTTAGTTAGGCAGTGGGTAGTAGCAGAGAAGGAACTCCCCTACTGAAGCTAAACATGGAAGGACCAACAATAATCACCAGGTCTTGGAGAGTCACTAAACAAAGATTTGTCAAATTAATGGGGAAAGGCTGCTTTCTAAGCTGTTCATTGCTTTGCCCCAAACCCCAGCTCTCCTTCCCTCTGTAGTCACTGGATCCCTCTCCCAGCATCAGAGGCTAGGATCTTCTAAAAATTCCCAGAGCTGGAGATCTCTACCTGCCTACTATACACCGAGGCCTCCTGTGGGCCTTGAGATCAGGATTACTATCCTCTCCCATCTCTAAGAGTCGTATATGTTTTTCTCAGTGTTTCTTCAACCTGGCTGACCACCAAAGTAAAGCATGGAAAGTTTAAAGAAAGAAAACCCAAGGCTTACTAAATTACTCTTTCTCAGGATGTTTCAGGGTATTCTGATGACCTGTTAGGCATGGGTACCACTGCATGCTGCTCAATTTGGACAGGCAGCAAGTGAGCACAGAGTGTGGTGCTGTCCAGTATAGGATGGAAGGAGACAGAGGTGAGGAGAGAGAGCATTTGTATAATTAGATAATTTCTTCTCTTACAAAACACAGCAGTTTAGAAACACATGAGCATATGGATGGAACCTTGTGCACTGTGGCTACCTCTCAGCTCACTCTCAATGATGAAAGAATGTTGAAGCCTAAGAGTTTTTTGCCTAGTACCAGGCAGTCTGCTCAAACTGACCCAGGGGAGAGATATGTGGTTTCATGTCTGTCCTATCTACCCTCACCAGGTAGGAACAAAAGGAAGCTCTCTCCAGGCACCTTTCCGCTTGCACACACGGAAGTGTCAGGAAGACAGTGCAAGGGAAAGGAGACGTGAGCCTCGACTGCGTGCTTTAGTGCAACTCATATCACTCTGAGGACCCTACACACCTCTTCCACTCTCCCTTCTAACCTCCAGAGCAGGAGTCAGGGAGCTGCTCAGTTTTTACATCCCCTGTCAACTCCTTCCCAGGGCTAAGGAACCAGCCAGGACACCAGAGTCCCTCTGGATCACTCTCCAAGTCCTTAAATAGAAGCTGTAGCAGCCCAGGGTTGAGGGTGGAGGAAGGTGTGCATGCAAAGATCTTGTGCTTTTGAGTCAGGAGGTTCGAAGTGGAGGGTGGGTGAGGTATTGATATGCTCAGGTCTGGTCCAGCCACTCTGCCTTCTTGGGGGCCTTGCAGGTGTGGACGTCCACAGTGTTTCTGCACTCCTTGCACCGAACGGCACAGCACCAGTGGAATTTGCACTCACACTGGGTGACACGAGTGACTCGAGTTGTGTCATACCCTCGGCCACAGCACATGATTTCACAGCCATCTGTCCCTTTAGATGTCTTGCTGCAGACACGGCCTGCAGTGCCTAGGGAACCTGGGGTGGGGAAGAGAGGGTGAGAACCAAGTTACCTCTTACTTCAGCTACTCTGGGTTCCCTTACCCACATCCTCATGAGGAAACCATAAAGAATCTCTTTTCCTGAAAATATACCCACTAGCCAAAATGACCATCTCCACATGGCCCTCTGCACCAGGCTGGTTTCCTCCCACCATCAAGGCTACCCCAAGACCCCTGACTTCACCTGCAGTGCCCTCCCTGCCAAGACACATCTCCAGACCCTCTTCAAAACCTAGCCTTAAGATGCATGTCATTGTTAAAGCTGGATGAAGACTCTCTATTTTATGTTTGAATTTTTCCACAGTAGGAAGTTTTAAAAAATAACAGCCTATAATTTATCTTTTCCAAGAAGTCTTGCCACAACTCTGATCCAGCTACCATTTGTTAGTATTTTGGTCCTTAGTTTATATTTTATCAAGTTGTACTATTCAGGGAAGTAGTATAGCATGGCCATTAACAGATGGGTCTGATGTCAGAGTGTCTAGGTTTAAAATCCCATTCTGCCACTTTTTAGCTATGTGATTTACAAGTTAGTTAATCTCTCTGGGATTTAGTTTTCTCATGACAATAGGCATAATAATAGCATCTAAATCAGTGGATTGTTATATCTATAATCTCTGTTCAGTGGAGGAGGTGAACTGATTGGCATAACTGGCTGGAGGCACACCCCTAAGGAATTCCTAAAGACCCTGACAGTGGGAACTCTTGAAGGGTCAGGGTTATGCTTTCTGCTTGCACAGAGCATGCTCAGGACCTCATTCACTGACTTTAGCAAAGGAGATCCTGCCAACAGATCATAAAGTCATAGAATTCTGGGTGGGATGGATCCTAGACAGTATCTACTCCAACCCTTTCCCAGAGATGGGAAACTGGCCTGGAGATTCAAGAAGAGAACCAATTAACTGATTTCTGTAATGGCAGTCTGACATTCCACTGGGATATGAGGAGAAAATACTAGAACTTCTTGTTTTTTACCCCATCAACTTAAAATATCTATTCTGTATTATGTTTTATAATGTACATGTTAGTAATGTGTAAAGTGGAACATAGATATAATTTATAAGTACATATACATATATTGGAGGCGCATGCTCAGATTTTTTATCTGATAGGAATGTACAGTCCACAGTGTCAGGAGACCACTGCCCTTGGGTACGGGCTGACTAGTTCTGCTCTGTATCTTATTCTTGTAACTGCGAGGGCCGGGTCCTAAGTCCTTCCCGTGCATCAGAAGTTTCCTCTGCCCTCTGGAGCTGAGTTTTCCAATGTGGTAGCCACTAGCCAAATGTGTTCATTTAGATTTAAAATAATTAAAATTAAATACAATTTAAAATTTAGTTCTTGGTCACATTAGCTGTATTTCAAATACTCAATAATCACATGTAGCTAAGTGGCTGCTGTATTAGCACAGACATAGAACCTGTCTACCATCACAGAAGTTCATTTGGACAGCACTGCTTTGGAAGGAGTTCCATCCCTCTGGGATGACTTGGACCCTCTGAATTCCAGGCCCCACTTTGGGTTTTATGAGTCTTAATTTTATGCCTCTGAGAAACACCAAAACACATATGACTCATCCTCCTAACTCCACACCTTCTTCCCCACAGGTGCATTTGGGTGTGGTAGCATAGGCTCACACCTCGGAGGTTATGGAGTGGTTTCCAGGCATTGGGAAGGCAGTCCTTTCAATTACACCACATGGGAAGAAAACACACCTAGTGGCAGAAAATCACCAGGAGAATCAGATGGGCTCCCTCAACCTTTTTCTCTTAGCAGCCTTCAAAGTACACAGACTTCTCTCTCTGTTATGTGAGTGGAGCCCTACCCTGTGTCTGTGTTCAGTTTTGCTCTAAACCGCTTGACTCTCCAGGAACAACAGTGATGGGTGAAAAACAGTACCAAAGGCAGCTGAGGTTTTTGACTCCACCTCACCCAAGTCTAACTGCAAAGAGCCTGTGAGTTCATGACAGTCCCCAGGGACAGAGCAGTTTTGTTGCATTGCACGTTGTTCCTAGACTAACCTATCTGAACCCGAAATCTGAGCCAAGATGGTAACTTCCATTCTTTTGGGGTAATACCATATCACGTCCCAGCATCCCCAGCAATCCCACCACAATATCTGGCACAGGTGTTGGCTGCTGTCTGCCAGTGGTTCACCTTGACAGGAACCTCCTCTTTCCTTGTTTCCCATCCCCACTTTACAATGTTCAGTGGCAATACCTCAGGTCATTGATGGTCTGATCCCAACTTTTCCTTCTGCCTTTGATCTCCCTCATCCAAATTCTTCACTCAGATCAACCTGCTCTCTGTTCCTGGAACAGATCGAGTACCACCTACCGTTCTACTTGTGTGGAGACGCTGTCACCTGTTCTCTCCAGCTACCCAGATAATCCCCACACTTCAAGAAACAGCTTACATTCCACATTTTCAGATCAGCTTCCCTTGATTTCCCCAGTCATTTCTCTTTTGCAGTTGCATCTGTCTACCCGTTACATTCATTTCTTAGCTAGACTATAAAGAGCCAAAGACTTAGGGCTGCATCTTATGCTTCAGTGTAGCCCACACATTGTGCGGTACTGAGAACGGGTGGTGCATTTAACATCCACTGGGTAGTATCTGTCACATCTGTGCATCATGCAGACCTCAGGGCTGAAGGAGCTGAGCAGCCTCTCCTCTGCTGGGGCAGCACTGGGCCTGAACTGAGGCACAAATCATCACTCTCATTACCGGGTTTTCATGTCCGGAGGAGACTGACTCCTCCCACAGCACCCCTTCCCTGACTCCTGAGGCTGAGCAAACTGTGACTGCCCAGGGCTGCTGGCACTAAGAACTGATCTCTGTGTCCCCACCTGCTTTCCTTACCCACCTGCAGCCTTGTCCAAGACACAGTAGTCTGGGGAGTTGTCAAAGTAGACAAGGTCAGTCCGGGTGGCGCGGCGATAGCCTTGGCGGGCTGCGGTGAAGTTGGCGCCATCCTGGGTGGCCGTCACCTGCACAGCCCCATCATAGCGTCGCCGCAGGTAATCACCGGTGCGGCGGAAGTCTGAGAGTGCACGCCAGCAGGTGCGCAGAGTACAGGAGCCACTCACGCCATGGCACTTACACTCCAGCTTCAGAAACCGCCGCACAGCCTGGGAAGTGGGGAGGCAGGTAAAGGAGAAGCAGCCGGTCAGGCACTTAGTCATCCTCAGGACTAACAACATGTGTGCCCTGAGGTCTGCAGGACCTGGTCCTGGTTGGCTAGTACAGCCATTCATTGTTCCTTCCCCCATCAGATCCCACCCATTCTTCCTGATCAAATTCAGGAACCTCTTCTTCCAAGAAGCCTTTCTGGACCAGCAGTGCTCTCCTTTTCATGACAGGCCATTTGAACTTTAGAGCCACAGGATTCTGTTTATGATTACAGTATGCTGGCACATCGTGTGTTTTGGAGTTTAGGGTACCACGCCTTCTACTTCTATAACACACCATTTTCCAGCACAAGGCTGGGCACAGGGGGGGCTCAGGTACCAGTACACTGATTAGAACAAGCTCCTACCCTCCTCTGTCTTCATGGAGGCAGTTTTTTCCTTCTTAAAGAGTTATTTCCCTTCTTTTCTTCCCCTTTCCCTATTTTTCACCTATGTGAAGACTCTTTTTGCACCTGGCTGCACCTAGACATTCCCAGTTCCCTTGGGTTTACTGCTTCTGCCCTGGGGGTCCGGTCTTTTGGAAGTAACCTGGAGGCTTCAGCACTCCCACTTCACAGTTAAGTCTGTCACCACACATACGGTCACCCCCAGCAAACAAGGCACATGCACAGATGTGAAGACTGACCGTGCGACCACAGCGGTTGTTATGCAAGTTCATGAGGGCCCGGGCATCCTTGAGCCTCTTCTCCTTGGCATCCACGAAGGCCTTGGCGAAGCGAACGCCATAGTGGATGTTGTCACTGCAGCCACCCCAGTCAAAGTCCCCACGTTGGTCATGGTGTCGGCCACGGGTGTAGGGGTCACAACTGCACACACTCAGTTCACCTTGGCTACAGGCGCGGGTGATAGCGTGGACCACCCCTGCTGACGAGATGGCATACACAAATGCTGCCTCCCGGCTACCTGGAGAGACAGGCAGACGTGTGTCTCAGCAGGGAGGCCCATGTCTGTCCCCTTCTTCAGCCCACAGAACCTCTGACTGTGAAATCTCTCTTCTCTTTTTCTTTCCTAGAGCAACCACTGTACCCTCTTTACTCAAATTGCCCTTCCCTTCCGGCAGCATTCTCCAGACCATCTGACCCCTTCCCAGAGCCCTCACTACTCTCCATCCACTCCTTCATACATCTGTCCTCCTGTGCTGACCTCTACTCTTGCTTCCTTCCAAACTCCCTGGATCCACCTATGAAAAAGTTTCAGGGTGAATCATCCCCTCCTACTGAGTGCCAGGCCCAGTTCAGCTAAGCCTGCCTTAGTCCACAGTCCATGCCGTTTCAGGCCCACTCTGCTGGACAGTTCCCCAACAGTGGGGACCCCAGCCCAGGGGTCAGCCTGTGTGGAGTGACAGGCTACTTTCCCTGCCTTCTTCCTTCCCTCCCTGATCTCTGGGGTTGATGAACCTTCACTCCTGTCCCTCTGACACCTCTGGATTCCCATCTCATTCCCTTTCTACCAGTTTACTGTCTAGCACTGCGTAGTTTTGCTAAGCTGGGGCCAAGCTGCTGACTCTCCAAATATTTACATATCACCTTTCTGTTTATCCCTTGCTCCCATTACTGTAGTGTTGGAAGTATTGGAGTGAGGGGAGTGATTGTGGTGATAGGAACCTGGTCCTCAGCCTGACAGTGCTGGGGGTTGGGAAGGGACGGGAAAGGGAGGAAGAAAGATAGACTGCTGCTCCTTTGTCCTGTCATCCCAGAACACTGGGACTTAGAGGGACCCCTGGCTACATATCTAAAGTACTAACAGTCTTTTTCCCAACTGTATCCTGGGCTCTGCCCACAACTGTTTCTCTGATTATGAAGTGTGTAGGAGAAGGGAGAGGGGATCACCTCTACCCTACCCATTCACCACCCCAAGCATAGGAGGGGAAGTAGGAGCTGGGCAGGGTGGAAGAGGCCCCTACTTCTGAGCATGACACGGCCAAAGACAGTGTGGTCCCGGTCCAGGGTGGTGCAGTTCCAGCGGTGGTGGCGGAACTGGTGCTGACACTCTCGGATCCATTCTCGGGCACCCTCGCCCACCGAGCGCATGATGTCTGGGTATCGCTGACACAGCTGCCGCTGCCGGCTCACCAAACCGGGGATATTGTCACAGATCACTCGGGCCCCCAGTGCCCCGATGTACCTGCAAGGTGGAGATGGCCCTGTCAGAGCATCCCGGCCCTTCTGCCGCATCAGGACAGGATTAGGAGCGGAAAGATTTGGCATTCAGACCTTGGAGTGGTGCCTTCCCCCTTCCCAGCCCACATTTCCCTAGGCTGATCGGTAGAACCGGTCTCCACAAGCTCTGGAGAAATAGTTACACAGTTGCAGAGAGAGTAATTGAGTGGTCTCCCAGCATCACCAGTTCCCAGCCAAAGGCCAAAGTGACACACACTCCCAGAACACAGGCCAGGCATGTGTCACATACACAGAAAGCTGTGGGCATGTCACACAAACCCATTGTCTGTTTATTTAACAAACACTAAGAGCCTCATGGAAAAATAAACTAACAAAAGGAGAGTCTGAGACAACACTCTTACACCCACATGTAAGAGGCACATCCTGCATGGCTGGTCCATGAAGATGATTTGGGGGAAGAAGGGTGGAGAGAGGGAGGGGCCGGTGGGAAGAGACATAGAGGGCAACCAGTAATTTTTATAGCCCTAGTCAGACCCTTGGAGCTAAAATCCTCATTCCCAGTGCTGAGGTTTGGGAAGGAAGACCCCACTCCCAATCCAACTCTCCTCCCCATACCCTTTATTTCCAGGCCCATCGCCATTCGTAACTACTAAGTCTTGATTCTTTCAAATTCTTCCTCCCAACCTATAGGGCAGAATATCCTGCATGGGCAGAGGGCTGTTGCTTTAGGAAGCCAAAAGCCAAGATAAAGCAAGAGGGTGACACCTCCATATTCCATTCCCAATTTGCCCGATATGAACTATTACAAGAAAGTAATTTTGGGTGGGTTACTAAAAGATGGGTGGGTTGGTAGAGTCATTCTCAGATTTCTCCAGGCAATATTTTCTCTTTATTCAAACCCTCTTAGCCCTGGACTCCACCACCAGCCCCAGGAGGACCATTTCAGAGAGAAGACAGGAGTACATCATCACCCTTTCTCCCCACGAGGCCGCCAAATGAGATCTGACCCATTCACCCACTCCTCACTCCCTTTCTATCTCTCCAACACCCAGCACCTTCCTTGGTTTGCAGGGAACTCTCCATTCTCCTGTCCTAACACATCAAGGGACACCTTCTCTCCCCTTTTCTGAACAGGTGGGGGCCAAGGAGGGCAGTTGCTGCTACAAACAGAAAATATTTTGGTTTGGGCTGTGAATGAGCCTGTGGTTTGGGAAAGGCCCCAAAATGGGCCTAGAAGTAGGAGAGGAGAAGGGAGGGTGGCCAGTGGGTAAAGGGGAAAAGCCAGACTGCCTGGGGCTCTATGTACCCCCTTCCCCCAGTTCACATACCCGGCCCTCACCCACAGACTGGATCACCACTGGTGATACCAACTCAAACAAACACTAGGAGGGCTGATGCTTGCCTCTTCTGGAACTCAGCAGGGTTGATGGGGTCCATCTGTCCCGGGGGAGGGGCGAGAGGGCTGACCTGACCCAGAGAAATCCCATGGAATCAGCGTCCCCAGCACTGTCCATCAGGGCAACAGCTTCCAGGAACAAACAAAATAAACACCCCGGGCTGGGCCAGGCCGGAAAGGGCCTCCTGACGCACAGCCTGAGTTACACCCACTGCTGCGGTGCTTTGTTTGGAGATTCAAGACCGTTGGCGTTGGAGCTGGTCCCTGTCTCACCACCATTCTGCTTCCCCAGTCCAGCCCTGAGCACTGCCCTAAGCAATGGGTGTTTGTTGTTTTTTACTGGGGCTTGGGAAGAGGGGGGTTGGATATAGGAATGGGAGACCAGTAATCCAGCCCTCATGAGACAGTCTAGAGGGAGGCAGGCCAAACTCTGGCAAAAAGTCCTTCCTGTGGTCTGACTTAAATCCATTCTGCTGTAGCCCACATTGGTCCTTCTTGTTACATCCTCACTGAGCGTGGGAACATCTGTTCAGTATCTAAGATGGGAAGATACTCTTACTACCTCCCTCACCCCACTAAGTAGCTGCTTCAAGATTCTGCAGAACAGGGCCTTTGCCTGCTGACCAGTGGTCAGCCCCTTGTAGTTGGTGTGGGGGGCCTCCAGTAAAACTGAGCCTGAGCCCTGTCCATCTCCTCAACTCAACACATGCCTGCAAAATGCCTACCATGTGTCATGCACTCAGCTGTTAGGGGCACAAGGATGTTTAAGGCTCATGGGCTGGTAGTGGCGAGATACCCCTGACCCTCTAGCTTTGTTTACCCATCCAGTTTTCACTTCCTTCCCTGCTTCCTGCCCCAGAATGTTTTCTTCACCTGCTTTTGACCAGTTCACATCCCTTCCTTTGACAAAGTGACTCATATCCTACTCTATGCTCTAGCCCCTCGCTACTCAAAGAACAGCAGTATTTGCATCACCTGGGGATCTGTTAGAGGTGCAGAGCCTCAGGCCCTACCCCAGGCCTACTAAGTCCGAATCTGTACCTTACCTACACCCCCAGGTGATCTGGCCGCACTGCTCCATGAATGCAGGGGTTTTGTCTGCTTTGTTCACTTCAGTGTCCTCAGTGCCTAGAACAGTGTGTGGCACATAGTAGGTACTTAATAACTATTTGTTGAATAAAACATAACTGCTCTGATTTGCTCCCCACTCTCTTCTCTCCCCTCGCCAGTCATAAGCTTCCTTTCGATAATAGCATTATTCCTCCCCAACACTGCCAGCCTCTTTGCAGATGTTTTATGTTTGTGTCTTATTGAGGCCAGGGAGCCTCTTCTTATCTCCCCCTTTCTTTGTAGTCCCTAGTGTACATGGTTCAGTCCAGCTCACAGAGGACTTTGAACACAGGGATAAGACTATTACCCTCCCTTAAGCTCTTTTTATTTTTTTATATGTTTTTATTGATTTTTAGAGAGAGTAGAAGGGAGAGGGAGAGAGAGATAGAAACATCAATGAGAGAGAAACATTGATTGGCTGCCTCCTGCACACCGTTTCCTGGGGATCGAGCCCAAACCCCAACCCCGGGCATGTGCCTCAGCCAGGAATCGGAAATCGAACCGTGACTTGTTGGCTCCCTTAATCTCTTAATATAACATCATTTATATGGTACTTCAGAGTTTATAAAACATTTTTCTACACAGAAATCCTATGAGAAAGAGAGAGAGCTCCATTTTACAGGTGAAGAAACTGAGGTTCAGGGAGAGTAACTGATAATACCCAGCTCCATCCATCAGAGCTAGTCAGGAGAACCAGGTGAACCAGGGACTCTGACTCCAAAGTCCAAGTTCATCTTCATTCCAAGGGCACGAGAGGCTTAGCCAGGAGCAGGCCGACCTGACTTCAAAGTTGATTGAACTCGAGTTTCTTGCCACTCCCCTTCTATCCCTCACTTTATTCATACGTGAAATGGGGATAATAGTAGTACATACCACGCTGGGTTATTTGGGGAATTGAAGGTGTTTAGCCATAGTGTCTGGAGCTTAGTAAGGGCTCATGAAGTGACAGCTAACTGTTGGTGACAATAATGCTAAGTTATGAGGCCACTCTGTTCCTCTCCCTTCGTGATTCCCTGCCTCCAACCCCTGCAGAATGCAAAATGAAACACATGCCAAAAGCCTCCGTTTCTTGTTCTGTTTGTTGTAGATTAGGAAGAGACCATCATTCTCTCCTCCTGTTAAAGGTGGGAGAGGGAAGGACTGGTTGGAGAGGTAGGGGAAGGGCTGAGGGGAAGGGCTGAGGGGAAAAGCAGACTGTCAGCTGGTGAGAGTGGTGACCTGCTCCAGGTAGAACATGGACACACAGAGTCAACAGCGTCTCCTCTGGGGGTTGTACAGAATATTAGTCTTGCTGGGTTTTTCCCAAGGGAAAGAGAGAGAATCCCTTTGGGGGCCTGACCGGCCTTTGGAAAGAAGCTTTCCACTTGACCCCAGAAGTGCTGTCCACGGAGGCTGGCATCTGTGGCCTGCAGCTATGACAGGTGTGAGGTCAGGAGAGGGAACTAGCCTCTGCACTCACTCCCCACCCCAGCCCGGCTGCTGCCTCCCTCCATTTCACAGGGACTGCTGGATCCCACCGCTTCACCCGCCTGCCTCCCCAGCTAGCTCTCCCACCCAGGAGTTTTCCCCAAAATCTTTAATATGAACCACGTGGTGGGGGGGAGTAGCAGAGAGAGAAAGGAAAAGGGGGAGACAGTAGCCACGGGGGCAAGATGGGGACTACGAAGGGCTCCAGATGAGTCTTTTGGAACCACCTCCAGCATGCTGCAGAGCCAGACTGACACTTCCTCACCTGAGCCCCATGGTCCCCAACACAGCCTCCCAGACTGGAAAGACAGAATGGAGTCCCTGAAAGCAAATTGCCGTCTGGGGTGGATAAAGGTGCGCAGTGGCACTTCATCCCTTCTCTTCAGGGCCACTGAGGGCTCCTGTCCCCGGCCAGAAGGAGCCCTGGAAGGTAAAGGGGGCTTTGCGCTCAGGCTGAACTTTGACCGGCTTCTCTCCTCACCCCTCTTCCCTTTCCCTTTCTGAAGGAATGCTTCACGCCAGATGTAAGATGTGGGCCTCCCTTTGCCCCCATCCAGAACCCCCCTCCTTGCCTTCCCCAAGTCTGCAGAGATAAAAAAGATCCAAAAGAGAGATTTCTCTGAAACAGGAAAACAGGGTGGGGGTGGGGGGGTGGCGAGAGACGCATCTTGAAATGATAGGAATCCGCTGGAGCTTGCTGGCCCCTCAGCCAGCTACCCTCACCCTTCCAGCCGAGATTCCCAGCCAGAGGAGAAAGCCACAGCGTGCAAGGGGAGAGGAGACCACACTCTTAGGTGGGGGTGCGGGGCCAGAGGGGGCAGAGTGAAGAAAGTAAGGGGGCATGGCATGGGTACAGAGGGGCCCAGATGGCTTTGATTGGGGGGTGACGAGGAAAGACGAGAAGACTGAGTCTTTTCTCTGTCCAACTCCCCCCCTGCCCTGCCCCCCAGAAGGAAAAAGATGAGTGCCATCCAGGGACTGGGAGCAGGGGTTCAGAAAACAGACATCTAGTCGGTTTGTAATGCCTTCGGCTCATCTGCCCTCTTGTGAAGTGTCTGGAGTGTAAGGCCTGCAAGAAATCTGAGGAGAGGGTCTCAATATTTGGGGGCCAGAAGCGCCTAGTTCTCCGAGAGGAGAGAGAGGGACAACTGGGGGAGAAAAGGAGGAGGCCGGGAGGGAGATATCAAGGTCCAGAGTGGCATCCTTAGAACAGGCTGAAGATGAATGCCTGCGTTATGCAAACCCAAGTGTTTTGTTTTAATTGTGGGAGTTTCTAACCATATTTTAAACGGGGCCGTTTTTTGGCCACCATTCCACTTCTAACCTCGTGCCGCGCGCTGCAGCCTCTCCAAGCCTTCCTGCGTTACCGCGAGGGTGGACTAGCGAGAGGCTCTGCACCCTGCGCTGCCCTTCACCTCCCAGGGCGGCGACCTTAGGTGACCAAGGGCTCCTGTTGGACGGCACCGAAGGCCCCAGTAGGCGATTGCTTTCTTGAGTCCACCCTGAGAGAAACTCGGAAGGTAGCTTTTGCCCTAAAAGGATTGAGCTGAAATACGGGCTCAGCATATGGGCTTCTGGAAAGCCTCGACCACCGGGCGTCCTGGCTCCAAACACCCAGCACCCACCTCGTCGGGCGGAGAAGGCGCGGCGCCCCCCATCTCCCCCACCTCGGCCCCCGCCACTCCGCAACTGCAGTGACAGTCCAACGGGGACCGTCTCTAACTCCTTCGGTGGGACGACCTGGTCTCCTGGGCTGCGGGTGCTGGGAGCTGTGTATTTCCTCCGGTCGCCTCCCGCCTCCCTGACCCACGGCCTCACCCTCCCACCCCTGAGAGTCACACTCACCACCAGGACGTGTCTACGCGGGCCGGCAGCGCCAGCAGCAGCAGCAGCAGCAAGCAGGCAAGACTTAGGCGGGCCGAAGCCCGAGAGCCGTCGGGGACCGCGAGTCTGGGAGCGGGCACGGGGACGGGGGCGCTGGCGCGCCGAGGGGGTGGCTGCGCGGCGTCCTCCGCACCACCCGGCTTCAGCATAGCTCCCCAAAGACCCCCGCCGCGCGGCCCGGAGGGGCGTGGACGCGGCACCGGCTGGGGGTACTCAGGCTGCTCTTACTCACCCCCCTGGGGGGCCATAGGCTCGCTGACGGCTGGGGA